ATCTCCTATCTCCTACCTCCTTTATCCTCCTATCTCCTATCTCCTACCTCCTTTATCCTCCTATCTCCTATCTCCTACCTCCTTTATCCTCCTATCTCCTATCTCCTACCTCCTTTATCCTCCTATCTCCTATCTCCTACCTCCTTTATCCTCCTATCTCCTATCTCCTACCTCCTTTATCCTCCTATCTCCTATCTCCTACCTCCTTTATCCTCCTATCTCCTATGTCCTACCTCCTTTATCCTCCTATCTCCTATCTCCTACCTCCTTTATCCTCCTATCTCCTATCTCCTACCTCCTTTATCCTCCTATCTCCTATCTCCTACCTCCTTTATCCTCCTATCTCCTATCTCCTACCTCCTTTATCCTCCTATCTCCTATCTCCTACCTCCTTTATCCTCCTATCTCCTATCTCCTACCTCCTTTATCCTCCTATCTCCTATCTCCTACCTCCTTTATCCTCCTATCTCCTATCTCCTACTCCTTTATCCTCCTATCTCCTCCTACCTCCTTTATCCTCTATCTCCTATCCTACCTCCTTTATCCTCCTATCTCCTATCCTACCTCCTTTATCCTCTCCTATCTCCTACCTCCTTTATCCTCCTATCTCCTACCTCCTTTATCCTCCTATCAGCTATCTCCTACCTCCTTTCCCTCCTCCTTTTATCCTCCTATCTCCTACCTCCTTTATCCTCCTATCTCCTATCTCCTACCTCCTTTATCCTCCTATCTCCTACCTCCTACCTCCTTTATCCTCCTATCTCCTATCTCCTACCTCCTTTATCCTCCTAATCTCCTACCTCCTTTATCCTCTATATCCTATCTCCTACCTCCTTTATCCTCCTATCTCCTATCTCCTACCTCCTTTATCCTCCTATCTCTATCTCCTACCTCCTTTATCCTCCTATCTCCTACCTCCTACCTCCTTTATCCTCCTATCTCCTATCTCCTACCTCCTTTATCCTCCTATCTCCTATCTCCTACCTCCTTTATCCTCCTATCTCCTATCTCCTACCTCCTTTATCCTCCTATCTCCTACCTCCTACCTCCTTTATCCTCCTATCTCCTATCTCCTACCTCCTTTATCCTCCTATCTCCTATCTCCTCCTTCCATTATTGTAGTTCATGGTTCTTCCTTTTGTGGGAAGATGTTTTGTTTTGGTGTGAAGAATGCTCGTTTTTTGTTTACTGAAAGTTTATACGTTCAACTACGATCTTTAATTGCTACGTTCCCGTTCCTTAGTGGGTTCTCATGAGACGTTCCTTTGAAGATACGTTCCCTTTCCTTAGTGAGGTCTCAGGAGACGTTTCTTAGAAGGTACGTTCCCTTTTCTTAGTGGGTACGTTCCCTTTCCTTAGTGGGTACGTTCCCTTTCCTTAGTGGGTACGTTCCCTTTCCTTAGTGGGTACGTTCCCTTTCCTTAGTGGGTACGTTCCCTTTCCTTAGAAGGTACGTTCCCTTTCCTTAGAAGGTACGTTCCCTTTCCTTAGAAGGGACGTTCCCTTTCCTTAGAAGGTACGTTCCCTTTCCTTAGAAGGTACGTTCCCTTTCCTTAGAAGGGACGTTCCCTTTCCTTAGAAGGTACGTTCCCTTTCCTTAGAAGGTACGTTCCCTTTCCTTAGAAGGTACGTTCCCTTTCCTTAGAAGGTACGTTCCCTTTCCTTAGTGGGTACGTTCCCTTTCCTTAGAAGATACATTCCCATAAAAGTTACGTTCCCTTACAAGGTACGTTCCCTTTCCTTAGAAGGTACGTTCCCTTTCCTTAGAAGGTACGTTCCCTTTCCTTAGAAGGTACGTTCCCTTTCCTTAGTGGGTACGTTCCCTTTCCTTAGAAGGTACGTTCCCTTTCCTTAGAAGGTACGTTCCCTTCCTTAGAAGGGACGTTCCCTTTCCTTAGAAGGTACGTTCCCTTTCCTTAGAAGGTACGTTCCCTTTCCTTAGTGGGTACGTTCCCTTTCCTTAGAAGGTACGTTCCCTTTCCTTAGAAGGTACGTTCCCTTTCCTTTGAAGGTACGTTCCCTTTCCTTTGAAGGTACGTTCCCTTTCCTTAGAAGTGACGTTCCCTTTCCTTAGAAGGTACGTTCCCTTTCCTTAGAAGGTACGTTCCCTTTCCTTAGAAGGTACGTTCCCTTTCCTTAGAAGGTACGTTCCCTTTCCTTAGAAGGTACGTTCACGTTCCTTAGAAGGTACGTTCCCTTTCCTTAGAAGGTACGTTCCCTTTCCTTAGTGGGTACGTTCCCTTTCCTTAGTGGGTACGTTCCCTTTCCTTAGAAGGTACGTTCCTTTTCCTTTAGAAGGTACGTTCCCTTTCCTTAGAAGGTACGTTCCCTTTCCTTAGAAGGTACGTTCCCTTTCCTTAGAAGGTACGTTCCCTTTCCTTAGAAGGTACGTTCACGTTCCTTAGAAGGTACGTTCTCTTTCCTTAGAAGGTACGTTCCCTTTCCTTAGTGGGTACGTTCCCTTTCCTTAGAAGATACGTTCCCTTAAAAGTTACGTTCCCTTACAAGGTACGTTCCCTTTCCTTAGAAGGTACGTTCCCTTTCCTTAGAAGGTATGTTCCCTTCCTTAGTGGGTACGTTCCTTTCCTTAGTGGGTACGTTCCCTTTCCTTAGAAGATACGTTCCTTAAAAGTTACGTTCCCTTACAAGGTACGTTCCCTTTCCTTAGAAGGTACGTTCCCTTTCCTTAGAAGGTACGTTCCCTTTCCTTAGAAGGTACGTTCCCTTTCCTTAGTGGGTACGTTCCCTTTCCTTAGAAGGTACGTTCCCTTTCCTTAGAAGGTACGTTCCCTTTCCTTAGAAAGTACGTTCCCTTTCCTTAGAAGGTACGTTCCCTTTCCTTAGAAGGTACGTTCCCTTTCCTTAGAAGGTACGTTCCCTTTCCTTAGAAGGGACGTTCCCTTTCCTTAGAAGGTACGTTCCCTTTCCTTAGAAGGTACGTTCCCTTTCCTTAGAAGGGACGTTCCCTTTCCTTAGAAGGTACGTTCCCTTTCCTTAGAAGGTACGTTCCCTTTCCTTAGAAGGTACGTTCCCTTTCCTTAGAAGGTACGTTCCCTTTCCTTAGTGGGTACGTTCCCTTTCCTTAGAAGATACGTTCCCTTAAAAGTTACGTTCCCTTACAAGGTACGTTCCCTTTCCTTAGTAGGTACGTTCCCTTTCCTTAGAAGGTACGTTCCCTTTCCTTAGTGGGTACGTTCCCTTTCCTTAGTGGGTACGTTCCCTTTCCTTAGAAGATACGTTCCCTTAAAAGTTACGTTCCCTTACAAGGTACGTTCCCTTTCCTTAGAAGGTACGTTCCCTTTCCTTAGAAGGTACGTTCCCTTTCCTTAGAAGGTACGTTCCCTTTCCTTAGTGGGTACGTTCCCTTTCCTTAGAAGGTACGTTCCCTTTCCTTAGAAGGTACGTTCCCTTTCCTTAGAAAGTACGTTCCCTTTCCTTAGAAGGTACGTTCCCTTTCCTTAGAAGGTACGTTCCCTTTCCTTAGAAGGTACGTTCCCTTTCCTTAGAAGGTACGTTCCCTTTCCTTAGAAGGTACGTTCCCTTTCCTTAGAAGGTACGTTCCCTTTCCTTTGAAGATACGTTCCCTTAGAAGGTACGTTCCCTTTCCTTAGAAGGTACGTTCCCTTTCCTTAGAAGGTACGTTCCCTTTCCTTAGAAGGTACGTTCCCTTTCCTTAGTGGGTACGTTCCCTTTCCTTAGAAGGTACGTTCCCTTTCCTTAGAAGGTACGTTCCCTTTCCTTAGAAAGTACGTTCCCTTTCCTTAGAAGGTACGTTCCCTTTCCTTAGAAGGTACGTTCCCTTTCCTTAGAAGGTACGTTCCCTTAGAAGGTACGTTCCCTTTCCTTAGAAGGTACGTTCCCTTTCCTTAGAAGGTACGCTCCCTTAGAAGGTACGTTCCCTTTCCTTAGAAGGTACGTTCCCTTTCCTTAGAAGGTACGTTCCCTTTCCTTAGAAGGTACGTTCCTTTTCTTAGAAGGTACGTTCCCTTTCATTAGAAGGAACGTTCCCTTTCCTTAGAAGGTACGTTCCCTTTCCTTAGAAGATACGTTCCCTTTCCTTAGAAGGTACGTTCCCTTCCCTTAGAAGGTATGTTCCCTTTCCTTAGAAGAAACGTTCCCTTTTCTTAGAAGGAACGTTCCCTTCCTTAGAAGGAACGTTCCCTTTCCTTAGAAGGTACGTTCCCTTAGAAGGTACGTTCCCTTTCCTTAGAAGGTACGTTCCCTTTCTTTAGAAGGTACGTTCCTTTTCCTTAGAAGGTACGTTCCCTTTCCTTAGAAAGTACGTTCCCTTTCCTTAGAAGGTACGTTCCCTTTCCTTAGAAGGTACGTTCCCTTAGAAGGTACGTTCCCTTTCCTTAGTGGGTTCTCAGAAGGCGTTCCTTAGAACGAGAACGTTCCTTCAATCTCTCTTCTCTAGCACGTCAATAAATCCCAGCTCTCGTTTTCTCTCCTGGCCACAAACAGTAACTTTCAAGGGATAGCTTAAGAAAAATTCAATCTTATTCTTTTCTCTTGGGGAGTCGCCGCGAGGGTCCGCTCAGTCTCCATAGAAGACGGAATGTTGAGTTTCTGGGAGACGTCTTGGGACGTGGACGCGGGTCCACAACTTTCCGATTAATGTTGCTGGTGTATTGAAGGGATATATGCACAAGGGATCGCCCTGGCACTGTTGTTGGTGGCACTGTTGCTGGTGGCTCTGTTGCTAGTGGCACTGTTGTTGGTGGCACTGTTACTGGTGGCACTGTTACTGGTGGCACTGTTGTTGGTGGCACTGTTACTGGTGGCACTGTTGTTGGTGGCACTGTTACTGGTGGCACTGTTGCTAGTGGCACTGTTGTTGGTGGCACTGTTACTGGTGGCACTGTTACTGGTGGCACTGTTGTTGGAGGCACTGTTGCTGGTGGCACTGTTAGTGGCACTGTTGTTGGTGGCACTGTTACTGGTGGCTCTGTTGCTAGTGGCACTGTTGTTGGTGGCACTGTTGCTGGTGGCACTGTTACTGGTGGCACTGTTGTTGGAGGCACTGTTAGTGACACTGTTGCTAGTGGCACTGTTGTTGGTGGCACTGTTAGTGACACTGTTGCTAGTGGCACTGTTGTTGGTGGCACTGTTGCTAGTGGCACTGTTAGTGGTACTGTTGCTAGTGGCACTGTTGTTGGTGGCACTGTTGTTTGTGGCACTGTTGTTGGTGGCACTGTTAGTGGCACTGTTAGTGCCACTGTTAGTGGCACTGTTGCTCGTGGCACTATTAGTGGCACTGTTAGTGGCACTGCTGCTCGTGGCACTGCTGCTCGTGGCACTGCTGCTCGTGGCACTGCTGCTACAGTGCATAACCACATTGTAAGCGGAAGCCCCAAGTTACAACCAGCCTTAAATGGCAATTTAGTTACTAAGTCTTCCTAGGGTGGGAAAAGCGAACGGGTGTTCGAATTGCAATTGAGCAGTATGCAAGTCCAACGACCCCAGGACGAGAGGCAGGTTGTATGCAATGTTGCTGTCGCTGTCCCGGTTGTAGTAACAACTGCTGACACCAGTTGTAAGATTATTAGCAGTAATATTGTGGTCATTATTGACATCTGGAGGACCTACCTGTTGGCACACATGCAAGGGTTAATTAATAACAGGGCGGAAATTGAAACACTCATATGAAACTGAAGAAAGGCAGTTAGAACAGAAAGCAATTCAGGAAATAAAGAAAAATCCAAAATATTTCTTCTCATATGCGAAATCAAAAGCAAAAACCACTGCCAGTATTGGACCTATTCGTACAAGTGAAGGTTCATACACGGAGGATGACAAAGAAGAATTAGTGAAATCCTAAAAAAGCAGTATGAGGACATGTTTAGCACTCCAATAAACAACATGAAGGTGGAAGATCCAGACATTTTCTTTATGCGGGATATTCAAACCCCGGTAAATATAACTGATATAAACACGAGCGCACTAAATTTTGAAAAAGAAATTGAAAACATGCCCATGCACTCGGCCCCAGGTCCAGACTCATGGAATTCAATATTTTAAAGAAATGCAAAGTGCCGGTAGCACAGGCACTCAGTATAGTGTGGAGGAAGAGCTTGGACAAGGGGTGAGATACCAGATGCACTTAAAGTAGCAGACATAGCCCTCTACACAAGGGAGGGAGCAAAGCATTGGCAAAAAATTATAGACCAGTTGCACTAACATCGCACATCATAAAAGTATTTGAGAGAGTGATTAGGAGTCAGGTCACCAATTTCATGGAGACCAATGACCTCCATAACCCAGGCCAACATGGATTTCGAGCGGGAAGATCGTGCCTCTCACAGCTACTTGAGCACTACGACAAAGTCACTGAGGCATTAGAAGAGAAAACAGAATGCTGATGTGATATACACGGACTTCGCAAAGGCTTTCGATAAATGTGACCATGGCGTGATAGCACACAAAATGAAGTCAATGGGAATAACCGGTAAAGTAGGACGCTGGATACTCAGTTTTCTGTCAAACAGGACTCAGCGAGTAACTGTCAACCATATAAAATCTAGTCCAAGTGCAGTGAAAAGCTCTGTACCTCAACGTACAGTCCTTGCACCACTGCTTTTCCTTATTCTCATATCAGATATAGACAAAAATACAAGTCACAGCTTCGTATCATCCTTTGCAGATGACACAAAAATCAGTATGAAAATTACCTCGGCTGAGGACATTGAAAAACTTCAAGCTGATATTAATAAAGTTTTCGACTGGGCATCAGAAAATAACATGATGTTTAACAGTGATAAATTCCAGGTACTCAGGTACGGTAAAAATGAGGACCTTAAACATAATACAGAGTACAAAACACAATCAAATGTACCCATAGTAGGTAAACAGCATGTAAAGGATTTGGGAATAATGATGTCTGACGACCTAACGTTTAGGGAGCATAACCAAGCAAATATTGCGACAGCCAGAAAAATGATAGGATAGATTACGAGAACTTTCAAATCCAGGGATCCCATCACAATGGTTGTACTCTTCATAGCACTTGTGTTGTCCCGTCTTGAGTACTGCTCAGTACTCACTTCCCTCTTCACAGCAGGAGAGATTGCTGAAATAGAGGGAATACAGAGAACATATACGGCACGCATAGACGAGATAAAACACCTAAATTATTGGGATCGTCTCAAAGCCCTCCAAATGTACTCACTAGAAAGAAGACGAGAGAGATATCAAATAATATACACCTGGAAGATACTGGAGGGCCAAGTACCAAATCTACACAGTAAAATAACAACGTACTGGAGTGTGTGGGAACCGACCTGTGAGATTTATATTTATTTAATTTATATGAATTTATATTTACGTTAATTTATATACTTCGATAGCAATTTGTATAATGATAAGTGGACTGTATTTCTGCAATAATCTCATAATCTCACAAATCGATCCTCTACACATTAGGGGGGGGTTATTAAATTAATATATATGCAGCCAATCAAACTACAGTAATAGCTACATACATTGATGAGGTTCCTTATCTTATAGTACAGCAGGTTAGTCCACCAGGTATAACTAGGGTGTAGACACCAAATATCCTCTTTGAGGCAGCTTCCATCACCCAGTAACTGGTGCACAAAATCTTGCATCCTCGTCTTGACCTGTCAAAAGTGCGCTAGCTGTGAAGCCAGATACCTATATATGACAAGTATATCAGAGAAAACAGTACATGGAACATGAAGACCTGGCTTAATTACCTTTAGTTTGAGGCTTCCACGTGATCTAACCGGGTCAACCCTATATCCTGACATTAATGGCCATAAATGAATGATAAACGGGTTTCGGATAGACACTTAACTTGAATTGTAGACATCGTGTTGGAGATGGTACCTTTGGTTTCCATAACACTACGTCCAAGTAAATTTAACAGGAGCCGAATTTGCTCCCGTGTGAGCCTCTGGTCTCATAACAATGGCTGCCCTCCTTCCCCACTCACGCCTGGCCTACTTTGTCCAGATTTCAGAAAGTGATAGAAGGGTCACATTTACTCTACTTTAATATTGATAATTAAGTTAATTTATATAAGATGTTTTTATGATGGTAAAGTCCAAAGACTAATGTATTTAAGAATAATTCCCAGCAGAATAGCTGGTGAATTATAATAGTATGTGGTGATGATATCCCGTTTTCTTTAGACGGTAATTCCACTACAGTAACGTTTTCTATGGGTAACTTGTTTATACAACACAGCTCTTATCTGTCTGTATGATATATAAATGCTGTCGGATTTTCCGACATAATTCCCCAGGGGCTGCTCACGGGTCGAAGTCCTAATTAGAACAGACGAACACCGATACTCCTCCTTCGAATTATTACATTAATTTGATGTTAGTAGTTAGTAATCACACATTTGTGCGTCTGTTCGTGCAGGACGGATGTCCCGTACTAGAGTTGCAGGGTGTTAGAAGTCTAATGCGATTTCATTTCCCTGTCAACTCTTGAAAGGCTAATATTCAAGCCTTATTACATATTATTTAACCCAGAAGACTGAATGTGATCAAGTACTACAGTCAAGTATGATTCAGGTACTGCAATGAGATCAGTGACATCAGATATAACTTGAAGTTTCTTCAGGTAACTGGTCACTGATATATAAACACTGAGGCCCATGGAATACATCTTGATTAAATAATAAATGTATCAAATCAGTCATCAGATTTATTGGGGTTTAATTAGTTAATTGATTCAGAAGATTGA